CCAGTCCCTTGAACAATAACTGGTGCCTCTCAGAATCAGCATTAGCAGGAAGCTGGAGTCAGGAGTGGAGGCCTGATACAGGATGTGGGGGTTCCAATCAGCATTTCAACCACGAGGTCAAATGCCATCCCTTTAACTGGCAGTTTACCTGCAATAGGAGAGGTTTAGTGTTCACTTTGAAAATCAACTTATTCTCCGGGGTCACAGATAAACCTTGACTCTAGGAAGGAACATGTCAAAGGAAATACGTGTATAACATAAATGGACCTCTGCAGCCAATACTGCATTATTCAGGAGGGCTTGCCCCACTTTTGGGCACAGAGACATAAACACAAGGTCCAAATACAATACATTATTGAAAACTGACAGGTACATCACTACTTAACAAGGCTGATTAAAATCAACAGTCTACACTGGGGTTTCCGGGACTCAGTACAGGATTCTTTCCCAGCATAAAAGAACCGACTTGCAAGTTTTCTTCCTTATTTCTGAGAGACTCCCTTCTTAATTGCTGCTTGTTTGTAACAGGCCTTGTGGCAAGGCTTTGGGGTAAGTTTGAAACACCCCATAATTCATCCAGCTAATGATGACTGAACGCCAAGCACCACACTGGACTGTGAGACTATGACACCTCCAGGGAGCTCCCAGTCCAGTGAGAGGTTGGGAGCTGGGGGGGTTTATGGACACAGATGAGAAAACCAACAATTAAAAAACAGATTGGTGAATGATATTAAGCAAGTACATTTTGTTATGAGCACATATAGGGACACATGAACAAGATCGGGGAGTGGAGGCCAGGGAAAGTCTTAGTTATGGCTGAGACCTCAAGGGAGAGCAGCAGTTTGCCAGGCCAAGACATGTGGAGACAGCACCCAGGCAGGCGGCATGGCCTGTGGAGTCCAGTGAACTGAAAGCCGTCCTTTCTGTTAGGGTGTCCAGCAGCCCTTCTCTACCATGCTCCTGCGAGACGTGAAGCCCTCCTGGGACAAGTGGGCAAACGGTCACTCCAGTCCCTTCCCTGTGGCTGAACTAACTTGTTGAACCCATGGGTGGGGTGTGGTCAGCATGAGATGACACAGGTGAGGCAGGGGGCGACAGCAAGGGCAGGACCACACAGGGCCTTGTGAGCCATAACTGCAGGATTACTAAATTCACTCGTGAGGAATATCAAACAGTTCACGCAATCTAAAACAAAGCACAATAGTTGGCATTAAAACATTAAAAAACAAACTTCCTCAGATTTGAATAAATTCTACTTAACTTTCAAGTGTTAGTTCAAGTCCCAATCACTCCTCTAATCAATACTTACTGCACCCCTGCCCTGGTCAGAGCTCCTGCCCTCCGGGAGCCCAACGCTCATGCTGAAGCCTCCACTCATCCAGTCTAGCATGGCCTCTTTTATTCCAAAGCCTGAAATAGCTGCTGCCTCCCTACTCACCTGGGCATCTAATTATAATCTCTTTTATATTGATATATCAAATATTGTATGCATACATATGTTACTTTTAGGGAAATAAACTATTATACTATAGAATAAAGGAATTGAGTAGAGAGTAAAAATCCCACGTATTCATTGGATTGTTTTCTGCCAAGAAATACCTATATTATGTATCTCCAAGTCTTTAACTTTTAGAACAATTTTGAGACAGGCTTGCAAATAAAAGTGTGAAGCCTGCTCATAAAACTTCAGATAAGAAAAACGCAGGTATGAAGCACGTCTTGCACACGCACACAAAACCCACACCTCTGCATTTATCTCTATGGCACAAAAAGAGGTCGAGAAATTTAAAGAGCAGTCGAAATTATTAGGGGGAGGAACTGAAGGACAATTATAATAACTAATTACCTGAGACAAACAGTGACTATGGGGAAAAAAAGTGCACTCAGGCTGTCTGCCCAATTAGAATGCTCAGGATAATTATGGGGCCATTTTCACCGCCAGTCGAGAACTATGGAAGAGGAAAACCTTCACGGGAGGCTGTTGTAGGAGACTGAAAACAGGACAAGGTAAAGCTGTGGAGTCCGCATGGTTCTGAGGGGAAGGCGAGACACGCTGGGCTTTATCTAGTGCAACTGCGGACTGTAACAGAACAGGACGAGGTCTCAGCCACAGGGAGCTGACATTACAGATGCCTGGCAGGATGCTGCTGACCAGGTCACAGAACTACATTTCCTGAATCTAATTCAGGAAGATGAGGGGTCAGAGGGATTATCATAAATCTCGAATACTGTGAATGGGACTCACATACTGAGCCCAGATTTCTTTCTTCATCCAAACTTGAGACACCTGGCTAAGAATACCTTTGCAGACTTGAACTAGGCCCCTACTTTATACCAGTCACTTAAGAGAATACATCACATGGTACACGGGTTGAAGCAGAGCGAACATGAACTCTGGAAGTCAGACTGCTTGTACTCATAACCCAGCTCTATCACCAACCAGCTGTTGGACTTGGGTCAAATTTCTTAACTCTTGGGACCGGCGCTGTGGAGTAGTGGGAAAAGCCGCCGCCTGCAGTGCCAGCATCCCATATGGGTGCCGGTTCGAGTCCCGGCTGCTCCACTTCCCATCCAGCTCTCTGCTATGTTCTGGGAAAGCAGCACAAAATGGCCCAAGTCCTTGGGCCCCTGCACCCATGTGGGAGACCTGGAAGAAGCTCCTGGCTCCTGGCTTCGGATCAGCTTAGCTTCTGCCATTGTGGCCATCTGGGGAGCAAACCGGTGGATGGAAAACCTCTCTCTGTCTCTACCTCTCTCTGTAACTCTTTCAAATAAGTAAATCTTTAAAGAACAAGTGTAGGGGCTAGGGAGGATGCAGGTCTGTTACCACACCTTCAGCTGAGGCATTGTCCCCTCCACCTACTCTATGCCACAAAGACCTTCTTTCAGTTCTAGTACTGGCCCAGGCTCCCTCCAGCCCGAGGGCCTTGGCAGGTTGATTTCTCTTCTACCTGGAACAACCTAACTCCCTCACCACCCTTCTGTGGCTGCTTCTTCCTCATCTTAAATCCCCAGCTTAAACAGAACTGCCCTGATACCCTTATCTAAAGTAGGTCTCCGGTTTTCTGCCTCAGCACCGGGTTTGCTCCCTGCACAGCATGGCGCACATCTCTAACTATTTCATTTGCTCCTCCACTAGATGGGTCCTTGACAGCAGAGAACATCTGTGTTCATCATATCACCTCCAGTTAAGCTCCGCACATAGTAGGCTATAATATGAGATAATATAATATCACACAATAAATGTCTGTTGAGTGAGTGAAACAATGCTGCCTAAGGTCCCTTTGGCTAAAAACAATAATTATTGGATAAAGGGACAAAAAAGGGGGAGGCTTTCACCTTCTGTGTCCAGGAAACCATTTAAGTGCCACATCACTATGGTCAAATTAAACAAATGGCTCCTTATCAGGAAATGCAGTTAGAATTTGAGTGACGTCCTCTACTAATGACTACAGCACCTTACTCAGTGACTTTGTAACTTTTGCTTTCAGATTTGCCTTACTCATTTTAACAACGGGTGATCCCTTCCTGGCCCTTGGTGGGTGTGTTAAACCCTACAAACTTCCATCTAAGAATGGGTAGGCTATATAAGTAACTGTCTGACTAAAAATACAGATTTTTAGATCAAAATTCCAGGAGATTCCAAGTTAGAACTTGTGAAATGAATAAGACTCTCGGATATTTAATACTTCCTTTTTTTTTTTAAATAGTGAGCAAAGCAAGATTATTCAAGTCAGAAACCCCCTGCCACAGCATCAGGAGGGGGGCTCCAAGAGAGGAAGACCTCTACTTTCCTTATTTTGGAAAGCTCATATGTATACGCAGTACGCAATTCAAAAGGTAAGAAAATGTCTACAGAGAAACGTCCCTTCCACTCCTGCCCCCCACCTGGTTCCCCTTTCCATAAATTCCCACTGTTACCAATTTTGCGAATGCTTCAGGTAATCATTTGCCGAGGCAAGCACATATACGTCCTCTGGTGTAGAGCACACTTTTGTATTTGAAGAACTGTTCTATGCTTGCTTGCTTCTTTTTTCAACCTGCCATGTCCTCGGACAACTTATTTTCTAATCCCATGGAACCATATATGTTAGAAATGAAGACACCTGTCTGTATTTTTAACAAGCACCCTGGGTGGTTCTGAGATGACACCAAATACAGAAACCACTCCGTCCAGGGTTCAGAGATTAAGTTTAGCTATGACATAGTAGAAACCCAAAAAAATTGAAGAGATGTCTTCAAAAATTAGCTCGCTTGACACTCGGCCCTCTGCCTTACTATGAACTAAAATCGTCCTCCAGCGTCTCCACGGAAGCTATTCAAATGGATGTTACCAAGACGATTCAGTTTTCAATTTCTGGACGCCTTTCCTGCCCATGCCTACCCCAGCCTGACAAGTCCTGCGTTACACAAGGCATTCTGGGATCTGGGTTGACCTGAGGTTCGAGCTACACCGAGTACGACCCAGATACTTCCCTCACTGACCCTTACCGACACAAGAGTATCCAGGTCTCCCCCAGAACTGCCTTCTGACCCTGGAAAGCGCGGGGAGCGGTCAGCGTGGTCAGACCGAACTTGGGGGATCCCGGAGTTCGCGCACGACCGGACTTGACCTCTACCGGGGGTCGCCGCTCCGGCTCCCCCCACCAAGCCGGCGGCCACCCAGGGAAGGCTGCGAGGGCCACCCCAGATTCTCCGCAGTGTCCCTTTCACCGCGTCCCCTACACCTCGCCCAGGGAGGGCGGCGTGGGGGGCCCCCGGCTGCCTCCCAGCGCCCGCTCACCCCACTCCGGGTCGGAGGGGCCGGCTGGACGCCTCTGGCACTTCCTTGGGTTCCGAAGTGAAGGTGGGAAAGCGGGGCTCGGGGTGCCTACACCCCAGACCCCTCCCCTCTCCACGGGGCCTCTTCTTCCGGCTCCCGGAGCCCCCCGCCCCAAATCGTGACGGCTCAACCTCCTCCCGCCTCCCGCCCTGCTTCCCATCCGACCCCGGCCCCTCACCCAGCATGATGGGGCTGAGTCGCCGGGCCAGGCCCTTGGACAGGTCGTACACGTACAGCTTCACCGGATAGAGATTCGGCGGCTCCATCGGGACCCGTGGCGGCGGCCACGACGGCCCTCGGGCACCCAGCGGCGGCTTGGACCTTCCCGTACCCGACCCGGGCGGGAGCGGAGGGAGCGGGGGGACCGAGCCCGGCGCCCGGCCTGAGGGGCGGGGGAGAGGCCGCCCTGCGTCGCTCGCGCCCCCGCACCCGCTACCGGCAACGACTACTGTGAGGTGACAGAGAGGGGACGGGAAGGGTCCGCACGGAAGAGGGGGCGGGGGCGGGGACGCACTTTCGCGCATGTGCGCATCGTCCTGACGGACGGCGGGGGCGGGGCTTGGCGAAGGGGCGGGGCTTTCGGTGCCGGGGTCGGCCTCTGGTAGGCACGTGGGTAGAAGCCGGTGTGTCGGCCTGAGGGAAAGAAGCGCGCGCTGTGCGTGATGACGCAGGGGCGTTGACGGGGAGCGCGAGCGCGAACCCGCGCGCGCGCGACTCCCGCCTCTGCGCAGGGCGCTCTTCCGAAGCGGCGGCTGAGGTAGGCGGACGAGGCGTGCGTGGCTCGCCGGCCTTCGCAGGCTCCGCGTGTCAGCCGCTCCGTCAGGGCGGCGTCAGCCGGAAGTGTGCAGATCTGAGGGGAAAGAGGCAGCCCCTGGGCGGGGGCGGCCACCGGCGCCTGGGACCGCCGGGCCGGGACCGGCTGAGGGGCTGGGGCAGCTTTCTGGGCGGGATCCCGGAGGGCGCCCGTTAGAGGACGGGGTGCCCCGGAGCTGGGGGTCCCCCAGACCAGATGGCGTCGAAGGCGGGGCGGGACGGCCAGGACGACGCGGTTGAGAGCGGCCACACGGGCCTCCGTAGGGGACCCGTGAGGACCCGTCCACGTTCCTGGCGTGTCAGCCCGAGCCTTTGGGACAGCTCGAAAGAGCCTGCGAGCTGAGTGCTGTTGCTGCTCTGTTTCCATTGTTACCGATCTTGACTTCTCCGCCCTGGTAGTGGAGCAGTGACCACCATGTCGGGCTGGGAATCGTATTACAAAACCGAGGGTGATGAAGAAGTGGAGGAAGAGGAGGAGAGCCCCGAAGCGGGCGGTGAGTGACCGGGAGGGACGTGCTGCCCGATGCCCTCGGCTGCTCTTCCCGGGCCATCGGAAATACTTTCCTGCCTTTGAAGTTTGCAGAGCTACCCCAGCCTCTTTTATTGACGTCCAGCTCTTCTAGTCTACGGGATATTTCTATCCTTAATATTTTTTCTGGGTCACTGCTAGATTGACATCTGTTGAGCCCCAAGAAATGACCCTGGTCACAGGTGTCCTTTGTTAGCGTAAATGGCCCAGGTGAGCCTCTTCCTCGCCCAGAAATGTCCTTTGGCCTACAGTAACTGGGACAGTGGAAGAGTAAATCTTAGCAACACATCACAAGAGTGATTGCCTCCGGGTGGCCTCCGGGTTTGGCAATGTAAGTTCAGGCATCGTGGTAACAGTTGGGGCAAAGGAAGAGAAAAACAGGGCAGGAGTGCTTTGACTACTAGTTAATTTAACTCCTGGGTAGAAATTTTTTTCTTTAAAAAAAAAAAGTTTATTCATTTGAAAGGTACAGTTATAGAGAGAGGGAGAGACATGGGTAGAAATTTTTAAAGATTTTTATTGAAAGTGGGAAACACACTATGAGAAATACACTTGTAAAAAGTAAAAGAGAAAATTTAAAGCACTCTATATAATCTACCGCCCTAACACAGCCACTACCAGCATTTTGACATTTTCAATATTTTCCAAATATATTAGTCTTATTTCCTAAGTATACATATCTGTTTCTCTTTGTATCTAATTTTTATCTTTTAATTACAGTGCTTACACTTTTTTTTCAAGATTTATTTATTTTGCTTGAAAATCAAAGTTACAGAGAGAGAAGGAGAGGCAGAGAGAGAGGTCTTCCATCCACTGGTTCACTCCCCAGTTTGCTGCAATGGCCAGAGCTGCGCTGATCCAAAGCCAGGAGTTCCTTCCAGGTCTCCCACGTGGGTGTAGGGGCCCAAGGACTTGGGCCATCTTCTACTGCTTTCCCAGAACATAGCAGAGAGCTGGATAAGAAGTGGAGCAGCCAGGGCTCGAACCGGCCCATATGGGATTCTGGCGATTCAGGCCAGGGCATTAACTTGCTGCACCACAGCGCTGGCCCCTCCATATCTTATTATGATAGAATGCTGAGAGGTAGAATTCATTGGGTCAAGGTAGAGCTTTTGTTTGAAGCTCTTGTCACATATTACCATCTTGTTCCTTCCCAAACGCAGCTAATTAAAATTATTCTATTAAGAAGCAACTGTCAAAAAGGGAGTCAATCGCGTGTTACATGTTTTTCTGAAAAACATGATATCACCTATGAGACACACCAAAAAGAGAAGAAAGAAAACTTGAATCTGATAAAGCCTCTATAGGTCCTTAGGACAGAGGACTATGTTAATCTCTACCAAAAAGAATGAAGTCAGCGAAATCAGAATGTGGGAAAGTGTAGTTGGCAAAGCATCCTGCTTTTTCAGCAAGTAAATCACAAGGAAAATGGGAAGGAGGGTTATCTGTAGGTTAAGATGCTTTGAAGACTTTGAAAGTCAGCTAATGTTTAGGATGTACACTCGGGTGGTAAAACTGTTACAAAAGAAGTAAGGTAGTGACTCAGAGTCGGGGATAGAAGTTGCTTTTGGGTGCAAGTGGGTGTTGTAATTGGGAGAGTATAGAAAGCACTTCCTGGGTGGCTGACGAGGCTGTTTCTGGATGTGGGTGGTGGTTTTAAAATCGTTGTTTACCTTATAGTAATTCATTATGTTATACTTCCGCTTTATAGGATTTTCTCTATGTTTTGTATGCATGGTAAACATGATAAATACGAATACAAGGGCAAACATTTCTTTCCGTTTTTTTTCCCCCATAGGAGAATACAAATACTCAGGAAGAGATAGTTTGATTTTTTTGGTTGATGCTTCTAGGGCTATGTTTGAATCTCAGAGTGAAGATGAACTGACTCCTTTTGATATGAGCATTCAGGTAAGACTACCTTTTTTGTTTATTTTTATAAAGTATTAAGCACCGCTTAAAAATGCATGGATCCCTGGTTGGGTGTTTGGCTGGCAGTTAAGACGCTGACATCTCGTATCAGAGCACTTGAGTTCCAAGCCGGCTCCTGACTCCAGCTTCCTACTAATGTGGACCCTGGAGGCACTAATGATGTCTCAAATCTAAGTTCCTACCACCCATGTATGAGACCTGGATTGAGTCCCTGCTTCTGGCTTTGGCCTGGTTCAGTCCTGGCCATTGCATACACTTGGGGAGTGAACCAGCAAGTGAGAATGCTTGCTTGCTCAAAAAAAAAAAAAAAAAAAAAAGAAAAAAAAAAAAGATTGATAGATAGATAAATAAAATACCAACTCTGAAAAGTTGGTTTGTAGGGCTGGCCTATTGTGGTGTAGGGGATAAAGCCACTGGCTGGGGTGCTGGTATTCCATATGGGTTCTGGTTCATGTCTGGCTGCTCCACTTCCAATCCAGCTCCCTGCTAATGGCCTGGGAAAAGCAACAGAAAATGGCCCAAGTGTTTGGGGCCCTGCCACTCATGTGGAAGGCCTGGGTGAAGCACCTGGCTCCTGGCTTTGGCCTGACCCAGCCCTGGCCATTGTGGCCATTTGGGGAGTGAACTAGCAGATGGACAATCTCTCTCAGTTTCTGCTTCTCTTTCTCTAACTTTCAAATAAAAAAAAAAATCTTAAAAAAAACGTTGCTTTGTAAGTGATAATTGGTTGTTAGCCTTCCAGGACGGCTGTCTATACTTGGAACTGAAGAGACATAAGAGTGTTGAACACTCACTTTGTTCTTGGCTCGGACTTAAGGCTGTAGGAATCCACGGCCTCCACCTTTTGTGTTAGCACTGGTGGTAGAGGTGGGCTCCTCATTCTACAGAGATGGGAGGTTTTTTTTTTTTTTTTTTTTTTTTAAGATTTATTTTATTTATTTGAAAGCCAGAGTTACAGAGAGAGCCAGAGGCAGAGAAAGAGGTCTTACATCAGCTGGTTCACTTCCCAGATGGTCGCAACAGCCAGAGCTGCACAGATCTGAAGCCAGGAGCCAGGAGCTTCCTCCAGGTCTCCCATGTGCGTGCAGGGGCCCAAGGACTTGGGCCATCTTCTACTGCTCTCCCAGGCCACAGCAGAGAGCCAGATCGGAAGAGGAAAAGCTGGGACTAGAATCGACGCCCATATGGGATGTTGGCACTTCAGGCTAGGGCATTAACCCACTGCATCTCTGGGCGCCGGCCCAGAGATGGGAGTATAAAGGCAGAAGGGAATTTCTGGCAGTTATGATTTGAAGACTCCTCATGTACATGATCTGTGGGAGTTGAACGTGTGACTGTAAAAAGATAACTACAATTGCCGGCGCTGCGGCTCACTAGGCTAATCCTCCGCCTTGCGGCGCCAGCACAGCAGGTTCTAGTCCCGGTCGGGGCGCTGGATTCTGTCCTGGTTGCCCCTCTTCCAGTCCAGCTCTCTGCTGTGGCCCGGGAGTGCAGTGGAGGATGGCCCAAGTGCTTGGGCCCTGCACCCCATGGGAGACCAGGAGAAGCACCTGGCTCCTGCCATCGGATCAGCGCGGTGCGCCGGCCACAGCGCACCAGCTGCAGCAGCCATTGGAGGGTGAACCAACGGCAAAGGAAGACCTTTCTCTCTGTGTCTCTCTCTCACTGTCCACTGTGCCTGTCAAAAAAAAAAAAAAAAAAGATAACTACAACAAGAAGACATATTACTCCAATTTTAAAATGGGCAAAGGACTTGAATGGATATTTCTCCAAATATATCCACATGACCAACAAGCACATGAAAAAGGCTTAGCAGCTTCAGTCATTAGGAAAGTGCAAGTCCAAGGCACAATGAGATATCACTTCACGCCCACTGAGCTCACTATAATATATAAAAAAACAAAACATAAATGTTAGCTGTGGAGAAGCTGGAACCCTTACACATTGCTGGTGGGGATGTAAATACTGTAGCTGCTGTGTGGAAAACAGCCTGACAGTTAAAAACACAGAAGTACCATGTGACTCAAATCCCACCCCTACATATATAATCAGGAGAATAAAAACAGGTACTCAAATCCTGATTCTGCCAAATACAAACTGCAGATGTTGCACTAGTTGTTGAAAGTCTTGGTGCCTGTTTCCACATCTGTAAAACGGAGAGGATACTACTACTACCTCATCAGATTGTTGTGAGGATTAAATATTTTTGTTTCTTAAAATGAGGTGTAGAGGGGCTGGTGCTATGGCATAGTGGGTAAAGCTGCTGCCTGCAGT